CTTCTTCTTCTCTTCTTCTCTTTCTCCTTCTTCTTCTTCTTCTCCTTCTCCTTCTCTTCTTCTCCTTCTTCTTCTTCTTCTCTTCTTCTCCTCTTCTCCTTCTTCTTCCTTCTCCTCTCTCTTCTTCTTTTCTTCTCTTCTTCTTCTTCTTCTCCTTCTCCTTCTTCTCCTTCTCCTTCTTTCTTCTTCTTCTCCTTCTCCTTCTTCTCTTCTCTCTTCTCCTTCTTCTTCTCTTCTCCTTCTTCTCCTCTCTTCTTCTTCTCTTCTCTCTCTCTCTCTATTCTTCTCCTTCTTCTTCTCCTTCTTCTTCTTCTTCTCCTTCTTCTTCTCCTCCTTCTCTTCTTCTCCTTCTCCTCTTCTTCTCCTTCTCTCTTCTTCTCCTTCTTCTTCTTCTTCTCCTTCCTCCTCCTCCTTCTTCTTCTCCTTCTCCTTCTTCTTCTCCTTCTTCTTCCTTCTCATTCTCCTCTCATTCTTCTTCTCATTCTCCTTCTTCTTCTCCTTCCCTTCTTCTCCTTCTCCTTCTCTTCTCCTTCTCCTTCTTCTCCATTTTCCTTTCTTCTCTCTTCCCTTCTTCTTCCTCCTTCTTCTCTCCTTCTCCTTCTTCTCCTTCTCCTTCTCCTCTTCCCTTCTTCTCTCCTTCCCTTCTCCTTCTCCTTCTTCTCCTCTCCTTCTTCTTCTCCTTCTTCCTCCTTCTCCTTCTCCTTCTCTCCTTCTCCTTCTTCTTCTCCTTCTTCCTTCTTCTCCTTCTCTTTCCTTCTCCTTCTTCTCCTTCTTCTTCTTCTTCTTCTCCTTCCTCCCTCTTCTTCTTCTTCTCCCTTCCTCCTTTCTTCCTTCTCCTTCTTCTTCTCCTTCTTCATTCTCCTTCTCATTCTTCTTCTCATTCTCCTTTTCTCTTCTCTCTCTCCTTCTCCTTCTTCTTCTCCTTCTCTTCTCCTTCTCCTTCTCCTTCCTCTTCTTCTCCTTCTCTTCTTCTTCTTCTTCTTCTCTCCTTCTTCTTCTCCTTCTTCTTCTCCTTCTCCTTCTCCTTCCTCTTCTCACTTCTTCTCCTCCTACTCCTTCTCCTCTCCTCCTACTCCTTCTCCTCCTCCTACTTCTCCTCTTCCCCTCCTTCTCCTTCTCCTCCTCCTCTCCTTATCCTCTCCTCCTTCTCCCTTTTCCTTCTTTCCTCTCCTCTTTTCCTTCTCCTTCTCCTCCTCCTCCTCCTTCTCCTTCTCCTCCTCCTTCTCCCTCTCTCCTCCTTTTCCTTCCTCCTCCCTCTCGTCCTCCTTTTCCTTCTCCTCCTCCTCCTTTTTCTCCTTCTCCTTCTCCTCACCTCCTCTCTCCCTCATTCTCCTCCTCCTCATTCTCCTTCTCCTCCTCATTCTCCTTCTCCTCCTCCTCATTCTCCTTCTCCTCCTCATTCTCCTTCTCGTCCTCCTTCTCCTCCTCCTTCTTCTCCTCCTGCTTCTCCTGCTCCTCCTCCTCCTTCTCCTTCTCCTCCTCCTTCTCCTTCTCGTCCTCCCCCTCCTTCTCCTCCTCCTCCTCCTTCTCCTCCTCATCCTCCTCCTCCTCCTCCTTCTCCTTCTTCTTTTCCTCCTCCTACTTCTCCTCCTCCTCCTCCTCCTTCTCCTCCACCTCCTTCTCCTCATTATTATTATATACTTCCACATATCCAAAACATTGCTGGGACCTATAAATACTTTGCATATTTTCCAAGACAATGGTAAATTGCCAAGGCAGGTGTAAATGTCCACCTGTCAATGTGTTTGTGACAATTTGAGTACAATTTCAGTACCTAATGCTAGTGTCAGAACAAAGATTGGTTATGAAATGACAAGAACTACTATAAATTGTAATTATCAGAACATAAAAATTATATAAAATATGAAAAATAGAAAAAAAGGTATATTGGCAACACTTCTGCAAGCGCAAGGACTCCATGTTGCCATCACGTGAGCATCCAGTGCCAACTTCTTGGCCTCATATCTCTGTAAGTACTGATCCTAATTTTTTTTATTCTAAAACACTTAAAAAAATGTGCTCTTTTTTTCTATAAAAAAAAATTATTTAAATATTCGGGGCGCTGCGTGAGTGAACGTATATATACGTTTGGACCATTTAACCCTTTCAGGGTCGACAGGCCCTCTCAGAGACTTGTTCTCAGGGTTCCCCAAATTTCAAAAAAAAAAAAAAAAATATTTTTTCTTATAAAAAGATAGAGAATCTTTTCCCAATCATAATGACACCAAAAGTATGAAATTTTATGGAAAACTTACGGAATTATGCTCTCACGAAGTTAGCGGTCTCGACAATGTTTAAGCATCGGTGATTTTGCCCACTTTGAGCTGTATTTTTGACCAATTCCAGTGTACTTATCGACAAAAATCATAACTATTTCGCGAGAACTCCATTTTTTCTATTGAATGAGTACAAGAAACCACCCATTTACCAATCTCAACTATCCAATACAGTGGTCAGAATTTAGCAATTTTGCCAATTTCACACAAATTTCAAAAGATGCCAATTTCCAAATAGGGCCCAGAATAAACAAGAAAGACATTCCTGGCACTAAAATAACATTTCCTCTGTTCATTAGTCATGTTCCCATTCCACTCTTACACTCTTTTGCTTTCCACTTTAAATTTTTATTCTCACAAAAAAATAGAAGATTTACTGTTATGCAGACTACTGCATTGGTGTAGAAGTGGTATAAATAATATCAGCGCACTTGTGAAAGAATATTAGACTCACCAGTTGACATGTATTGGACGCATAGTATGATTTGTTTACTTTTGAACTTTGGTAAAAATCGAACATTTCTGCTAATTTGAGCTCAATTTCAAGGTACTTTTCTTTGTAAAACCAGTCAAAATCATCTCAATTTCTGTAATATGTCTTCCATTCTATAAAATGAGACCAGGAAAACTAGAATACAACAATAAATGCCATACGAAAATACAGTGCAAAGTCGCTGTTTTAATCCAAAAACACGGTCAAAGTTTTTTTTTCTCATTACGCACTGTGTGCTGCAGGATTTTTTTTATGCCACGCACGCTGATCACATAGACCCATTCTTTCATATGTAGGCCTACCAGCTTTCTCTCGCTAGATTTAAGGGCGCTAGAATTTATGCGTACTAGTAACGTCAAAAAACCCTGGCTCGTAAGCCATACTAGTACGGCCGAAACCCTGAAAGGGTTAAGGGCTAATGTGCTTCAGAGTGATTATTATGTTATTATTATTATCATTATTAGTATGGCATCTTCAAAACTAAGAAGACACTCTTAGTGATTTTAACACGTACCTGCATGCTAGCACAATGTGCAAGTTTATTTAGGTACAGGTACACATAAGTATAATTATCAGAGTATATAAAACATGAAATACCTTTAAAACTCTTGAAATTTTGTAAAGTTTCTAGACATAATGGGGAGTCGTGTTCATGGAGAATGTAAACAAACTGAGTGGCTGCAGTGACCATATTAGAAAGCCAGATGGTGGGAGCCGTATAGAGAGTTTTGGTCATAATTTGAAATTGAATTAGACACATGTGCAACTCTTGGGTATCTTTGTTGAGGAAATGTTTCACCACACAGTGGCTTCAACAATCCATACAAAGGAGAAACTTGAAGAACAGGAGGAGAATGAGGTAATCAGTCCCTCAGCCTTGAGTCGATGTGGTCAGTCGATCAATCTTGAATAGAATACGGTATATGAGTGGAGAAGCAGCTTATAAACCGTAGACAGGTGAGGGGCAGCAGTCGTAGGTGGTGTCACATTTGTCCAATATGGAAGTAGGTCGTGCCCAAGGGTTAGGCAAGTGAAGAATTCCCAAGTATTAAGATCCCAAGAAGTTGCAGTGTCTGACAGGATTGTAGATGAATGGTTCAGAGAACCGACATGCTGTTGAATTAGACACATGTGCAACTCTTGGGTATTTTTGTTGAGGAAATGTTTCGCCACACAGTGGCTTCATCAGTCCATACAAAGGAGAAACTTGAAGAACAGGAGGAGAATGAGGTAATCAGTCCCTCAGCCTTGAGTCGATGTGGTCAGTCCATCAATCTTGAATAGAATACGGTATATGAGCGGAGAAGCAGCTTATAAACTGTAGACAGGTGAGGGGCAGCAGTCGTAGGTGGTGTCACATTTGTCCAATGTGGAAGTAGGTTGTGGTGTCACATTGGACAAATGTGACACCACCTACGACTGCTGCCCCTCACCTGTCTACAGTTTATAAGCTGCTTCTCCGCTCATATACCGTATTCTATTCAAGATTGATGGACTGACCACATCGACTCAAGGCTGAGGGACTGATTACCTCATTCTCCTCCTGTTCTTCAAGTTTCTCCTTTGTATGGACTGATGAAGCCACTGTGTGGTGAAACGTTTCCTCAACAAAGATATCCAAGAGTTGCACATGTGTCTAATTCAACAACATGTCGGTTCTCTGAACCATTCATCTATAATTTGAAATGTCTGTATTAGCGGAATGCCGTAAGGCAAAATGCCATAAAGCGGGGCCCTACTGTATATGGTAGTAGAATAGTAATAGTGGTAATGACAGTAGTGATAATACTAGTAATAACAGTGGTAGTAATAATACTAGTGGTAATAGTATTTTTAACACTCCATCTCCCACCAAGGCAGGGTGACTTAATAAAGAAACATCTTTCATTATCACTCAATCAATCACTGTCTTACCTGAAGCATGCTAACATTACAGTTTGGATAACCCTTCAAACCCTAACATCGTCACCCTTCCTTCAAAGTGTAGGCACTGTACTTCCCACTTCCAGGGCACAAGTCTGGCTCACTTATTTCCTCTGAATCCCTTCATAAACATTATCTTGTTGACACTCCAACAGCATGTCAAATCATAAAAACCACTTGCCTCTACTCAATCCTATCTAGTAATAATAATAGTATTAGTAGTAGTCATCATTCTAACAGCTGTTGTAGTAGTACAGGTCCACATCCCTTTATCTGAAACACTTAGAGGCCAGTATTGTTTTGAATTTCAGAATTTTTCAAAGTTCAGAATGATTCTCAACACTGCCACATGGCAGCGTGACCCAGCACTGAGATGACCGAGGCTCCATACTTCATGGAAAAACTTCAGTTTTCAGAACTCTTCCAATTTCATAATTTTGGATAAAGGGTTGTGGACCTGTAGCAGCAGTAAACTTTACCTAAGACAGTGTGCCTTAATTCCAGTGGCCATATGTTGATGAATAAATATATTGGAAAAGCTGGAAACTCATATTGTAAATACAACATTTGTAGAGAAAAAGAATAATGTGAGAATAGCTAAACAAGTTTAAGTGGAATGATAGTAAACATATATGAGATAAGATGTATAAAAATGTGCAAGTGTAAACAATTTTCTAAAAGAGGAACATTCAACAAAAACATCCCTAGGTGACTCAGGAAAGTATAATAAAAAAAAGTATGTAACCAATATCGAGAGACTAGTGTTAATATGAATTCAATACTATAGTTTATTATATATGAACACCATGAATATGTCAAGCTTTATTACCTGTTAGTAAATTGATGAGAGCACAGTTATGAGGTGAGTGAGGAGTATAGCCAGCCCTCTGAAGAAAACTATCTTTTGTGACCTGACGATAAACCTCGCCGAGCCACGCAGACGAGAGATAGACCAATACACCACTTCCATGCACCAGATCTACAAACTGTTCCTGTGATGTTCATTGGTTAGTATGACTAGTATAGTACTATGCATGATACCTTGGAACAATTAGTTCAGTTAGTAATCAAGCATTTTTATGCACTCCATTATTTTCTAATTTTGATTATATTTACAGAAAAAATGTTAACATGATTATAAATACTGTATACCCTATTTTTCATCATATAAGAAATTTTTTTAACCCTTTGACTGTCGCAAGCCCACTTCCGAAACTGTCTTCCTATGTCGAAAAATATTCGAAAAATAAAAAAATTTATTCTTACCAAAATGTTAGGATTAATTTGCAGAGTGCTTGAAGGCTAAAAAAAAAATCTGCGATCAGTACTTACCGAGATATAGAGGCATAAAGTTGGCAGAAAATGAGCCGCATATGGCAACAGCGGTGAATGCCACTCACCTGGTAAACTTTTTTTTACTCCAATTTGAAGCTTTCTTGTTTTTTTCACTACTTTATTTTTTCATGTAAGTGGCCTGTGAGACCAAAGTAAGGTGCAATGTACATATATACACTTGTATACAACACAATAAGCGCACAAACATAATTATCAATATACACCTACCATCCGACTTACGACCTGCTCGACTTATGACCACTCGACTTACGACCGTATTTTTTATGCCAAATCTCTGGGAAATAAACAACTATTTGTGTTGTACACAGTGTTTATCCTAAACCTTACAGTACAAAATACAGTACTAACAGCATAAAAAGTAAAGTAAAACATGAAATACCAAAATAAAACAATAAAATAAAGTCATTACAAAAATGTTTTGTTGATATTCAGTAGTAAAGTTCGACTTACGACCTTTTCGACTTACGACCGGTTTCTCGGAGACGAACTCGGTCGTAAGTCGGATGGTAGGTGTATTGTTTACAAAACTTGTTTACACAAACAATACAAAAAATTTATTACTATTGTTCTATAATGTACACCTACCATCCGACTTACGACCTGCTCGACTTACGACCATTTCGACTTACGACCGGTTTCTTGGAACTGAACTCGGTCGTAAGTCGGATGGTAGGTGTATATACAAATGGACATACATATAGTAAACAATCACAGAACACTTTCCTAGAACTGCTGCAGCTTGTGGAATTCTATGAAACATGGTATATGCAAAGTGATATTTTACACTCCTCACACATAAAACGATTGTCGTTTCATTTTTGTGGGCATTTTCTGGTATGTGCACATAGATAAAACCTTTTCTGAGCAGTTTTCTTGAAAGTAGTAGGAGGCAGTTGTATGGGGTAGTGATCACCAGGCCTCAGACGAGAGGGTATGTGTTGATAACTTTGTGGGAGCTGGTCCATTGCAGGTGTTGTTCCTTGGTACTTGAATATTATTTGTCTGATGACTGACAAACAAAATTCACCAGATTTGGGTTTGTTGTTGGTCTTCAATTTATACATATTATAAGCATTCAGCATGGAAATATCAAGAAGATGGAAAGAGTTTTATGCAGTACTTATGACTCTTGTGAACACAATCAGCATGTCACATTTGTCCACTAAGCACATACTGAGGCTGTAGTCCATCACAGCTGCAGGTTTTAGAATGGGCTCATTGGTGTCTCTATTCTGCCTGCCAGTGTCTGCCATTTCGTGTTGGTGAACTGATGTCAACACTGTAACATCACATTTGCCATGCCACTGAAATGCCATGATGTCATTGGCATCAAACACCTGCACCTCACCTCTGTGAGTGCCTGCTTTGAACCTAGGCATATGTTTACGATTTCCACGCACTGTACCACACACATATATGTGATGTTCACTTGCAAGAAATCACTGAATAAGGGCCTTGTGTACCACTTATCAGTATATAATACATGCCCCTTACCAAGATATGATTCCATGACTGTTCTAACCACATCACCAGAGATACCCAATAACTTCCTGGTATCTCTCAAAGTATTAATGCCAGTGCACATATTATATCCAAAACCAGACCACTTCTGCAATCACACAGAACAAACAACTTTATACCAAAGCGTTTCCTCTTGCTTTGTAATATACTGCTTGAACGACAGTCTGCCTTTGAACAAAATCAAAGACTCATCAATAACAAGCTTCCTGAAGGGATAAAAATACATACAGCACTTTTGTTTCAGGTACAAAAGGACATTCCTGATCTTATATAACCTGTCGTTTCTGTTAGGCCTTGTTTTGTCTGAGAAGTGTAGCATACGTAACAATAGAAGAAACTGATTCACTGATATAATGTCACTGAAAGATGGGGCTGAAATCAGGCAGTCTGTCGTCCATTATGTGGTGACAGTCTGCTTATACACATGTGGCATAAGCATTATTGTGGCAAAGAACAGGTACATCTCTGCCACAGCTGTGTCTTTCCAGTGATGTAGCCGTGACCTCGGTGAAAGAACTGTTTTCACCATGGTGTACTTGTAGTATATATTGCTTTCCCTGACAATAATTTCCATCAGGGGTTCATCAAAGAATAATTGAAAGCATTCCAAGTCAGTGGCACTGTTCCCAAGTGTACAGGATGGCCGTATTCCACTTTGTGTTTCATCAAAGTCATTCATGGGGATTGGGAACAAAATTGGCACCTTGCTGCCAATCCCAGATGCGGTCTGCAAGAGGGTACTGGATACTGACAGGTGGCTGTGGTAGTTATGGTTGTGCAGGTTGTGGGAGTGTGTGGGTGGTTGAGGCTGGTTGTGGCTGTGCTGAGTTAGCAGCATGGGTAGCAATGTGGCCTGCTGCTGGTGCCACATGACTCATGCCACCGCCAACGCCACCCTAAGCTGCCCCACACACATTACGCATCCCCATTGTAACAATATCATTGTCATCTTCACTATTAGTTCGTGTAGGGCCACGGGATGTACTCCGAGATTTACTCCTCTTCCTTGGAATGGCATATGGCACACTACCAGAACACATGCTGCGTCGTACATACTGCCTCTTCACTGGAGAATATTCCCCCCTCACTGTCACAACTCGAACTGCTTTAATAAGCTTGGAAATCAGTATCACTTTCACTGCTCACATCAGAGTCCTGTACACAGGAAAATAGTTTCCTCTTTCATCCTGGTACAGGTGAACATGAATGAGATGGCCCAGCACCTGAGGTGGAAGGGTGTGGGTCATCTGAGTTTTCATCACTAATTATGTTATCCTGGGCACTGCTTTCGGTCACACTCTCCTGAAAACCATGGAATTCGCTTTCACTGGCACTTCCATTGCTGTTAGAACTATCACTTGTGAACAGAAGACCACCAATTCGGCGAAGAGTAAGGTACTTCTTACCCCGAGGCATTGTGAACAAGGACTACTAAAATGCAGTTCCCACAATGCACCACTGAGTCCCCAATTGTTTTAATATTGCACACACCCATCATGCAGACCCATTCTCTCACATGTAGGCCTACCAGCTTTCTCCTGCTTGATTTGAAGCCGCTAGAATTTACGCATATTAATATAGTAGACCGTCATTTAACGCGGCAGTTACATTCCTGAAAATGCTGTGCTAGGTAAAACCATGTTAGATGAACTGAAGAACTTATGGCAAAAATACAGTTACGTTCCTAAGAGCCCCAAAAAAGCCAAACAACTTTTTTTTTAGGCCTCCACCTCTTACAAAAATAAAAGTGAATATGTAATTGTAGTTCATTGTTGTGATGTATTATGTTGTTTTTACTGCTTAAGACTACAAATGTAACAGAAACAATAGTATTTCTTACCTTTAATTGTGGGTGCTGGTGTTTGTGGATGATTGTGAAGAGAGTGGAGAGTTATGTTGTGGTCCTACTGGGCTGAGGTGGATGGTAGAGGTTCTGGTACTGAAGTTGATGGTTGTACTGGAGTGTCTAACTTTAAGTCATCCAGTCAGTCAAGTCATTCAGTCAGTGAAGTCAGTAAGTCAAGTCATTCATTCAGTCAGTGAAGTCAGTAAGTCATTCATTCAGTCAGTCAAGCCAGTAAGTCAGTCAAGTCATTCAGTAAGTCAGACAAGTCATTCAGTAAGTCAGTCAAGTCATTCAGTCAGTCAAGTCATTCAGTAAGCCAGGCAAATCATTCAGTAAGTCAGTCAAGTCAGCCAAATCAGTAAGTCAAGTCATTCAGTCAGTAAATCAAGTCATTCAGTAAGTTAAGTCATTCAGTCAGAAGTCAGCCAGTCAAATCAGTAAATCAAGTCATCCAGTCATTCAGTCAGTCAAGTCAGTAAGTCAAGTCATTCAGTCAGTCAAGTCATTCAGCCAGAAAGTCAGTCAGCCAAGTCAGTAAGTCAGTCAAGTTGTTCAGTTAGTCAAATCAGTCATTCAGTAAGTCAAATCAGTCATTAAATAAGTGAGTCCAGTCATTCAGTAAGTCAGTCAAGTCATTCGGTAAGTCAGTCAAGTCATTCAGTCAGTCAAGTCATTCAGTCAGTCAAGTCATTCAGTAAGTCAGTCAAGTGAGTTATTCAGTCAAGTCAGTAAGTTGTTCTGTCAAGTCAGTATGCTATTCATTCGTCAGTAAGTCATTCAATAAGTCAGTCAGTCAATCATTCAGTAAGTTAGTCAGTCACACAAACTTACGTTTACCTTCTTTTATGTGTACAAAGTAACATTTCATTATGCCACAGATTATCTTTTGTCTAATATCTTTGTTTTCTTTGTTAATTCTAAGACTTAAATGCTTATACCTTTTCTTGCCACTTTCAGCAACACTGGTATCCTTACTGGGTGTCATGATTGCTTGGCCGATACACGATATAGTAATTAAAAGATCAAAACACAATTCACAAACACAGCTAACTTGTAGCAGAGAAAAACTGGACATGTATGAAGTACGAATGCTGGGATGGTGGGGTGGTGTCAGGGGGTGGCAGGGGATGGCGGGAGGTCTCTCCCCCGCTGATCCACAAAAAGGCGGCCACTTTAGGAAAAGGGTTTTTTTTTTTTTTCCTCCTGCAAACTGAACCGTGTTACATTAATTTTACGACATGTTACATAAAACTGGGCTGCAGTTCTTCAATCATGCTATACCCAAATTGTGCCAAATAAACTTGTGCTAAATGATGGTCTACTGTAGATCAAACACATTGGCTCACAAGGCATATACAGTGGACCCCCGCATAACGATCACCTCCGAATGCCACCAATTATGTAAGTGTATTTATGTAAGTGCGTTTGTACGTGTATGTTTGGGGGTCTGAAATGGACTAATCTACTTCACAATATTCCTTATGGGAACAAATTCGGTCAGTACTGGCACCTGAACATACTTCTGGAGTGAAAAAATATCGTTAACCGGGGGTCCACTGTATATATGACTGACACAGTCAAAGGGTTAAGTCTAAATAACTGTCGTGTTTCTTATGCAGCCAAGGAAAAAATGAAGAATATATCTGAAATCATAAAAGACAAGCAGAGTAATGTTACTGCCATTTGCATTTGATAGCAGTTGTGTTACTGTTCCTGGATTTTAAGGGCTAGCCTTATGTAAGGTATACTGCCACCTCCCTGATGATGCAACCCACAACAGTTAATTGACATTCAGGAACATATATACTGTTAAGGGAACAGAGGCAGCAGGTGAAAGGAGATTTGCCCATTGTGTCCACTTGCAAGGATGGAACCTGGGTCCTTTTGGTGTGTGCTTGGAGCAATCTGACAATGCTGCAATGACCAACCAGTTTTCTAATAAAAATGGTGGAGAGAGAAGGTAGCATGTATTATGATCACTATTATAAAAAAATCTGAAACCATAGTACATCTAATGCTATGGTGAATCTGATAAAACACAAACTACTCTGATTACTCTGTGATTTGTGTATTAGCTATGCATTAGTCATGCAAAGACTCAAGTAAATTTGTCAACTATGATGTAAGACCAATGTTCATGCAGTAATCTACTTATAAATGTAAAATATCCTGAAAGTAAAAAGTTGAAAATTTAAGAGAAAAACAAATTAAGAAAACATGAAATAAGATAGATACAAGAGAAAATATAAGAAATCAACACCCTAGGTGTTATATATATATGTTTAATAATATAGAGAAATAAATCACATTTCAATAAAGCTCAACATCTCAGTAATGCTAAACCCTAATAACTCTATTGTACAAAAACATAAAAGTACTTAAACATTTGTTTAAAAAATCCAACAAAAATAATATAAATTACAAACGCTTTGATATGAAACTTCAGGGGATCTTCTCAGTCCATCCTGGACCATCATCAAATCATACTTGAAAATGGTGCAAATGGAGGTTACTTGCTAATTAATCCAGCTGTCACAGTATTAATTCACTGTCACAGTATTTGCAGTGTATTTCACTAACCTGATTCATGGGTGCTGGCAAACTTGGGTCACAATAGTTTCCACCACGAATGAGCTGCAGGTTGAGCGAAAGCACAGAGTAAGTTGCCAGATATATTCCATCTGCATTAATGATCACCTGGTGAGTGTCCTCTTGGGTGGTGGCAGTGAACACTCCTGCATTAATTAGACAACTTCAGAACATATACAAAAATACTCTGAATCACAGCTTGTGTGTTTTAAGTTAAAATGTACAGTTAGATGAATAGTATGATGTTTATCTAATACATCATAGTAATATAGTATACAGTATGATCCTGCCTTATACAGTAGGGCCCCACTTATATGGCAGGTTAGGTTCCAGGCTACCGCCGTAAAGCGGAAATCGCCGTAAAGTGGAACACCCTTTTTTCCACTTATAAATGCATACAAATACTAGATAACAAGTTTACACTAACATATATTAAGTTAGCAATAGAACTAGGCATCAAAAAAAAAAAAAAATAAAAAAGTACAATACACACATAGCGCACTCATTACTTACCTAAAAATATTTATAGTCTTAATCTAGGGTGAGACAAGTAGTATTTATTGTAAGAAATCAAGTGTGGTATGTATGGTAGTCAGCCAGGCTACCATACCAGGCCACATAATATTCTATTACATTTAAGCATCCCAGAGCGATAAAATGCATATACAGTTTACTCATTACTTACCTTAAAATACAGTGGACCCCCGCATAACGATTACCTCCAAATGCGACCAATTATGTAAGTGTATTTATGTAAGTGCATTTGTACATGTATGTTTGGGGGTCTGAAATGGACTAATCTACTTGACAATATTCCTTATGGGAACAAATTCGGTCAGTACTGGCACCTGAACATACTTCTGGAGTGAAAAAATATCGTTAACCGGGGGTCCACTGTATTTGTAGTCTTAATCTAGGGTGAGATGAGTAGTATTTATTGTAAAAAATCAAGTGTGGTATGTATGGTAGTCAGCCGGGCTACCATACCAGGCCAACCCACCCACCCATACTATTCTATGATATTTAAGCATCCCAGAGTGATAAAATGTATATACAGTTTACTCATTACTTACCTTAAAATATTTGTAGTCTTAATGTAGGGTCAGGAGTAAGTAAGTGAGATAAAACGAATAAATGAGAGAGAGAAAGAATGAGTGCATGAGGGAGAATGGGTGAAGAGTTATGTAAACAAACCAGGCGAAGGTAAGTTTTGTAAACAAAGTGTACACATCTGGTTTGTGTACAAGTTACATTGTATACAAGTTGTCTCTACATTGATACGGTAGAATAAATAAAGAAGAACACTCCCATTCTCATGTAACATCATTTTGAGAAGAAATGACACTCTGAGTGAAGGCAATGGAAATAAGTCACTCTGACTTTTTCGGGTTATCCTAGGTTCTCTACACATATGCTGTTATGCATGATGATCTATGTAACTGTATTTGTGTATACCTCAATAAACTTACATATGAAAGGAATAATTTTCTACAGTTACCCCCAGTAACACATTTTCTCTTATGTTAGACTAGAGAAATGTTATTCATGCCTTTACTTGTACAAGTTATCTGGCTACCACATCTCATATTTATGTTTATTTATTCTATTGTGGGGTGTATTTATCATCTTTATATGTTATGTGTCATGTTTATTATATAATTTTGAAAAAAAATATCATGGATGGATTAATGAAAATGTGTATATTAACGTAATATACGACATTTAATGAGACTCGGTGATTATTATTATTATTATTTCTAATATGGCGTCACTTGTGCAAGTCATCTGCTACCACATCTCACATTTATGTTTATTTATTCTACTGTGGGGTGTATTTATCATATTTATATGTTATGCATTGTGTTTATTATATAATTTTGAAAAAATATCATATATGGATTAATGAAAATGTGTATATTAAATGAGACTTGGTGATTATTATTATCATTACTAATATGACGTCTCGAGACATAAGACACTCTTACTGATTTTAATGTGCACCTGCACGCCAGCACAGTGTGTAAGTTTATTTAACCCTTTCAGGGTCTGTCCCGTAGATCTACGGCTTTACGTTCAGGGTCCAAACCGTAGATCTACGTCATGAGCTCAGCTCACTCTGATAAACTGTGAGTGGTAAATTTGGGCCTAGATTCATGCACTATTTATTTATTTATTTATTTATTTATTACAATTTGTGCACACATACAGAGGTACAAAAAAATACAGATAAGAGCAGCATGCCAAAGCCACTTATACTATGCATAGCATTACGGGCTGGCTTAAAATTAACTTTAGATTAATTAAGCAATGATGAAATCAGTGACAAAACATTAATGTAAACAGATTACTATAAAGTACAAGTGAGTATTACAAAGACAGGTCATATGGTTGCATGTATTATTGTACATTCAGTCATATGGAGAATTCTGTTAGGTAGTTTATTTAAAAAAATAGTAAAGTTAGATTGGGTTTTAGGTTTAACATTTATGTGATATAATTGTGAGAAACATTTAAGATATGCAATTTATAAGGTTGAGTTATTCAGTATTTATTTGGTTTTGGGTGAGTAAGTGATCTTTGAGAAGAGACTATGTGGTATGTGTGCACCACATAAAACAAATCCTGCAGCACACTGTGTATGAGAGAAAAAAACTGAGACCGTGATTTTCGAATAAAACAGCGACTTAGCAGCAGCAGCAGCAGCAGCGCAGCAGCAGCAGCAGCAGCAGCAGCAGCACAGCAGCAGCAGCAGCAGCAGCAGCAGCAGCAGCAGCAGCAGCAGCAGCAGCAGCAAGCAGCAGCAGCAGCAGCAGCAGCAGCAGCAGCAGCAGCAGCAGCAGCAGCAGCAGCAGCAGCAGCAGCAGCAGCAGAGCAGCAGCAGCAGCAGCAGCAGCAGCAGCAGCAGCAGCAGCAGCAGCAGCAGCAGCAGCAGCAGCAGCAGCAGCAGCAGCAGCAGCAGCAGCAGCAGCAGCAGCAGCAGCAGCAGCAGCAGCAGCAGCAGCAGCAGCAGCAGCAGCAGCAGGCAGCAGCAGCAGCAGCAGCAGCAGCAGCAGCAGCAGCAAGCAGCAGCAGCAGCAGCAAGCAGCAGCAGCAGCAGCAGCAGCAGCAGCAGCAGCAGCAGCAGCAGCAGCAGCAGCAGCAGCAGCAGCAGCAGCAGCAGCAGCAGCAAGCTGCAGCAGCAGCAGCAGCAGCAGCAGCAGCAGCAGCAGCAGCAGCAGCAGCAGCAGCAGCAGCGCAGCAGCAGCAGCAGCAGCAGCGCAGCAGCAGCAGCAGCAGCAGCAGCAGCAGCAGCAGCAGCAGCAGCAGCAGCAGCAGCAGCAGCAGCAGCAGCAAACAATATGAAGAAAGGGGAGCACTGCAAGGGAGCTAGGTGCCCACAGAGGGAGAGCAAGTGCACAGAGGTGGGGGGAAGGAGAAGTGATGAAATAAATAATGAAAAAAAGGAAAGGGGAAGAGGGAGAAGAAGAAAAAATGAGGAATCAGGTTAAGTCACGGGTGTTCTGAAGTTTGGAGCATTTTACAATGTAGTGAGAGAGGAAGGCATCTACAGAGACGACGCCAGGACTAAGATTCATACAAGGAAAGTTGTGTATTAGAGAGGGTTCAACAAAACGGCGACTGTTAAAGTTGGAAGTAGGGAAGACAGTTTAACAGTCACCGTCTTGTTGAATCCTCTCTAATACACAACTTTCCTTGTATGAATCTTAGTCCTGGCTTCGTCTCTGTAGATGCCTTCCTCTCCCACTACATTGTAAAATGCTCCAAACTTCAGAACACCCGTGACTTAACCTGATTCCTCATTTTTTCTTCTTCTCCCTCTTCCCCTTTCCTTTTTTTCTTTTTTGTCTTTCTTCTGTCACGTGTTTCTGTTCCTTTATTATTTATTTCATCACTTGTCCTTCCCCCCACCTCTGTGCACTTGCTCTCCCTCTATGGGCACCTAGCTCCCTTGCAGTGTTCCCCTTTCTTTATATTTGACTGGCTCCTCCTCCTTAGTTCCCCACTACTACCACTACTACTAATACTACTACTACCACTACTACTACTACCACCACTACCTCTTCCTGCCTATATATAGCCGTCCTGCTCCACTTCTGGTTAGTGTGACTTTGTAAATGGTCCGAGTCGGACCGAAACGTCGTCGTAAACTCCTCTCTTCTATGTGCGGGTTATTTGTGTAACATTTTAAATACTCCAAAATGAATAATATTTGGCATAATACTGAGTGGTTCAACAGAGGTATGAAGAGGATATGGGATACAAGTACCATTCTCCTATCCCTGTCTTGGGGGCTTATATTAGAAAAAACGAAGTATAGCACAGGGCTGTGATATACACTCATACTGCACCATAAAACTGAAACAAAAAAGCTATTTTCTCTGCACAGATTATCACCCATAGCAGCATATGTGTAGAGAACCTAGGATAACCCAAAAAAGTCAGTACGCTGAGGTCGGTGGTCACCTGCGGTCATACCTGTCCTAAGCTCTGGGAGTTAGCATGGGGTGTTACCAAGCACCATGGCTTGTTGTAGTGTTTTAGAATCTCAGGTTTAAGTGTTGAAGAAGGTTCTACTTCTTCAGGAGGAAAATAGGAGGCTGAAGCATTGCCTAGATGAGTTTGGGAGTGAGTGTGAGAAGGATTTAGCTGGTAAGGAGGAAATGGTCACTAGCAGTGATAGTGGCAGCCGCTTTAAGTGGCAAGTGGTTCACAGTTCAGGAAGAAGGAAGATAAGGAGGGTTAACAGAGAAGATGTGAAGGTAGGAAATCGATTCTCTGTTCTCCAGGATGAGTGCACTTCAGTGGTTAGTGAGGTTGAAGGTACCAGTGATTCCCCTGCTAATCAAGGTAAGAATTTTTTAATAGTAAGAGATTCTCAGGTAAGATATATGGATTATGCTTTTTGTAACAGAGACAGAGAGATCAGGCAGAGGGTGTGCCTTCCTGGAGCTGGTGTTGGTGACATAGTTAGCATGTTGGATAATATTATGTTAGGTAATGGGAACAAGCCCATTATCTTAGTGCTGGGGGTAATGATACTGGGAAGGGCAGGAGACAGGAGCTGCTGGATAAGTACAGGTCAGCCATAGAAGTTAGGTCTAAGGGAGGGATCCCAGCCATAGAAGTTAGGTCTAAGGGAGGGATC